ATCGACTTATTACGTTGACTCATCGGTCCGGTCCTGCCCCAGACCAAATAAAAGTACACAAAAACATGTGGCCAGGCATTTCTGTCCGCACACTTTGGTCATCTAGCAGTGAGACAGTTAATTAAAGGCATGAAGACTCTCACAAGTCAAACAAACTCCTGCTTTTTGTGATGAAATACAAAGGAAGCTGCAGAATGATGGAAGAAATGGGACATGACAGATGTGAGACAGGCTTTCAGCCTGATCAGTCTTGTTCATTTAGCTCTGCACATCTGGAGCTAAAGATGCTCCACATTATATAATCACACCAAGCTGACATTCAGCATAGCCTCTGGCTTTGGATCATATGGGGATATCAGACTGCAACAACATCCAGATGTTGAAACACAGCAGAAATCTTGTCAGAACATGAGCAAGACTTTTCTCAAATCTCCAAATGTGTACACATATTTGTGTGAATGGAGAGGCCAGTTCAAGAATTCAAATCCATTGACCCAGTAAGCACATGAAAGCACTACAGTGTTCAAGGCGATGCCTTCAAATTGCCTGTTTGGCCCAAGCAACAGTTCAAGATCCAAAGACATTCAGTTTAGAGTGTATGTAAAACATGGACAAAATGGTTTCAAAAGTAAGTCTGTACTTTAACCTCACTGAAAAGTTTGAATTCAATTTTCTGGAACACAAAAGCAAAGTAATGGCAACATGTCACTGTTTAATGACTGGAAAGGACATGCACCAACAAGCCAGCAGAAATCATTTGTTCTGGAGTGTGAAGGTGTGTGTCAGGCTTGGGTTGGCCAAGGCTGAGCTTGCCATCAGTGTGCCTGTAAGTATGTCCCTACAAGTGACAGGCTGAGCTTGAAAAACAGATGTATTGATCTATGCTGCTCCCTTGCTGTCCCAGTCGTTAACCCCAGTTTCAAACAACACATGCATGTGTTGGGGAAATCGATACAAGTCAAGTGCTGCTCTGCTCGGTCGCACTTGTTGGCGATGTAGCCTGCAGATGGCAACGACAAGCCCCACTGGACAATTTATTAATGCTGGGGGGAGGCAGGAAACCACAGAGAGTGAGAGAGACCGACTGAGACACAGCAGAGTCTGATACAGAGAATGAAACGCTACTGTTTAAAAGACCTTTTCAACATCGAGTATAAGATATATTTATGGACAAAACAAATCAACAAAGGACACAAGAAGGGACATTTCATTCTTTTCAAACCAGGCTCTAATTTGTTGATGGCTGTCAATTTAAAGGCTCAAACAGAACATGAACATCAGCTGTGCTGCATCATGTCATATCATTTAACAGCCATCACTTGATGCCTGAAGCAAACACCGACAGCATCGCACAGACAAGAGAGTCAGGACAGAGGAGCTCAAAGGAGCTGATCCAGGCAGCAGATGTGGTGCAGCTGCTTCTTTTCTGGAGTGTCAACATCACTGATTTGACCACTTGCTGCTTTGTACTGGAATTAGTTTTTGATTTTGCTCTGCAGGTACTGCCACACACCTGTGGCTATACAATTTGTACCTTGAAAGACCGCTGAAGTTAACGTATATGAACGTCAGCAGTGGGAAAAGGAGATGAGAAAGGAGAAACACAGACCTGCTGAGAGAAGATGAAGTGCAGAAGACATCAAGCCTTTATAATGTTGGAGGCTGTGGAATGTCTGAGTATGTTTGAGGCAGTTTCGCACAATGTAATAAAGAAAAGGTTTATAAAATATAACTTTATATCAAGTAAAATCTTCGTCAAAGTCAGTTCATTTGGATCCCGGCAGGTTTCTGTTGATTGCTGCAGATCTCAGGTCTGTGTAACAATATGAAGAATAACATTTCAGAGCGTCTTTGAATAGAAACACATTTGGAAAGTGAATTGGAATTACTTTTCATTACTGGACTCTTTCTATATTGGTTTCATCCCATCAGGGATCAACTCTTTGCAAAAGATAATGAGAACTGGCCTGATTTCCCTTTAAATCTGGGAAGCAGCAGCCAAATGGATAAACTGGGGCTACAATATGCAGAAAGAAAACTCTGTGGCTTTCCTTGGGAAACAAAATGAATATTTTAATTCTGCATTGTTCCTGGAGGTCATACACAGAACTGGTTTAAACAAACAAGACCACTTTTGGCTGTCATCCGTGAGCCGCTGTTCTGGCACGAGGGAAGAGTTTTTGTTTATGGATGAATAAAAGAAACAAACAGCGTTCCTCGAGGTCCAACTAATCCTGGCTTTACATAAATTAAAAAGCAGGGAAATGCGTGCACAAGTGAAAGGACCGCAAATATGTTGTGACTACCAAGTTGACATATAGTAAGGAGACCAAAATTGGAAGAAGTCGAGGACAGAGCAGTTCTACAGCTCTGTGGGAGCATGTAGAAAACACAGCTTGTACAGATCACAGATTTTCATCTAAAAATAGTTTGATTAATTATGAACAGAGCAAGAAAGCACTTTCCAGTCCCCAGTAACAAAAGTTCCTCCTTGAATTAGGTCCAAGTGTTCATCTTTCCCTGTCAGAAGACTCATTTCTCACTCTGGCAAGGACAGGCGCTCATCAGTCTCTCCTGTCCCAAACCTTGCCGTCTTGCTCCTGCCAGCCTGACTGACAGCTGTGCTCCCAAACCTGACAAATTGAAAGCTTGCCCCTGAACTAAACTAAGATTGATACTGTGTATGTACACTTTTTTTTTTATTTTGAGGGGCTTAGCAAGCTTTTGGTTTTGATTTCATTCTGACACCTCCATGATAAAGACAAGCACTCACATGGACTGACAGTTGTTTTTTAATCTCATGCTCCTCTGTATTGAGACCTTCAAGGTAAACACCCTGATTTTGCCTGATTTGGTGACAGAACTCCCAAATCACAATTTGAAGTTTAGCAACAAGTGCTGGGGGGAGATTCTGGGACAGTGTGTAATATATTATATGAACAAGAGGTCTGTGTGTGTAATTAAAGAAGGGAAAAAAGAAGAATGAAAATGAAGCAAGAGATTTTAGGGAACAGGAGTGTGGGCACGAGTTTGCCTTTAGATGAGAGATTAGCCGTCTCTTGAGACTTGTGTCCAGGTATGACCAACAGGAGATACTCATTTTCTTAAGGTGCATTCAGACTGAATGTGAAGCTAATTAGTTTTTCTTCCACATGCGTGGCAGCTAACAAACAGTAAACGTGTTATTTCCAGACATTTGTCATAACTAACAGCTCAGACCGTAGTTGAAACACTAATAGGACTCCAGTTGTTACCCTAAATTATCCCCCTCCTCTCATTTTGGCTCCTGCTGTCTCTGTACATTTATGTGTTCTACAGCTAAATGTGAATTTTGGGCTCAAATTAAAATACATTTAGCTTAAAATAGCTCTAGTTTATGAAAACAATTAATAAATGACAAATAATTTGCTACAAGAAGAAAGATGATAATACAAACTCAGTGTAGGAAAGGCAACATGGTTAGAGACTGATCAGATGGAAGTAGCAGCACTGAGCTCACTGCACTCCACTCAGGCAGAAAAGAACCCGTTTACCTACTTTAATGGAAACCACTGAGGCATTTTGTAATTTACACCCATATGACATGAACTGGTTTCCACCTGAATAGCTGTTAACAACACTGTGGTCCCTATAGTCACCTCATATTTTAAACAGTTTTCTCATCACTAATGTTACGAATGCCTGAACGCCTCTAATGTCCTGCCATCAAAGAACACTGATATGTAGAATGCAATGCAGTCCTGGACCAGGCTACTCAGACTGCACTGCGGTGTGTCCGTTTAGGCACCAGTGAGCCATGAAATTTGAAAAGTTCAGCTGAAGTATTGAACACGAGAACACAACACTAGTGGACAGGAGCATCACAGCGCTGTCTGGACTTTTTTTGTCAGATGTGAGATAAACAGCAGAAATTCACATTATGGCCTCCACATTAGAAAGCATCTGCACTTACTATGTGTTCAACCCAATTCAAATATTTAGCTGGAGCCCCCTGTGCTGACAGACTGGTTCCAGTGGAATGAACGAGAGGTCTGTGTTCTTTCATGCAGGGCTCAAGTGGGTTTGAAAATTGAAATGTGATTCATGTTAGGGCTGCACAATTGTGGCAAAAATCATAAACACGATTATTTTGGTCAATATTGAGATTATTTAACACGGTTACTCATTGACTGGAAACATCATGGGTTTATCGGACTTACTCACCACGACACAGCCACATCTATAGTAATCTCGACTATTTTACTTTCATAATCATTGGAAGCCAAAATTGTAATTGCAAATAAAGTTCGATTAATCATCCAGTCCTACTTCATGTTTAAACTGAATGCACCTTAATGCCGATGTCCCTAGTTTGTAATATTTTGTGCCAATAATCAATTAAAGATCTACAAAAACAAACAACTAGCTATATCTGCAAATAGCGGCCCTGGTATTTTGTACATATGACCGATACACTAGTGTGCACATATAACTGTCATAGGTAAGGATGGGTAGTCGGCTACATGTTGTTCCTACAGAGACGTCTGAGGTGAATGGGCACAAACAGGTGAAGGACACTGTGTCTGATCTCAACAGCAGGATTTGTCACGGGAGCAGGTTAGAGTGTTACACTGCAATTTCATCTCCCAGACAGTTGGGAGTTCCCTGTTTGTTGAAAACACTGAGCAACCTCAGTGTCTCCTCATCTGTCCCCCAGCCAAAAATCTCCATCTCCTCCTCCTCTGCCTCATCCTCGTCCTCCCTGTCATCGCTGTCGTCCGTGTTCGACTCGTACTCCAAGGCGATACCTGACTCACGAAACCTGGCGAAGTCCAGGCAGCCCAGAGATTTCACATCACAGGACAGCAAGTTCACTGTGCCCTCAGAGACTTCAGGACTTTTGAGCTCTAGCCTGTTAGACTTGAGTGGCAGGGGAGGGGATGCGAGTCGAGGAGGCGAAGGCCCTGGCGGTCCCGGGAGGAAACGGAAACACTCAAGTTTGAGCAGACACTGGTCCCTACCTAGGGGGCTTCCCAGGGCCCCTTTGGAGGATGAGAAGGGGTTGCTGGTCCCATCACTGGTGCCCAGTGCCGCCAGGCTGAGGGCTGACACCTCAGGTTTAGGGGTCGTGGGGTCACAGATCACTGGAGGTACTGTAGACCGGAAGGTGATCTCCAACAAACTGTCCTGGGATCCCACTGGAGAGAGGTCAAAAATAAGGACACAATGGTTAAAGCAAACCAGGGACAAGCAGAGGGAAAAGCGGGAAATAAAAGACAGGATTGAGAGACGGAGTTCTATTTCTAAACTTTTATTTATACCACGTTTACAAGCTCAGTCTCAACCTGACACTGCCCTGGTTTAAATTCCTCTCCTATCACGCCTGCTGCTGGATCGTGGTACATAAATAATGTATGTGATATAGATATCTGAGAACAGTGCTGAACAGCTACTGGTCCTCAAAAATCAATCACACTGTTACCCATAAATCATTGCAATCCTGTGTTGGGTAAAAAACACGTTTCAAAGCATTTCTTCATTATCAGGGCTGCACTTGCTGCTTTTTATGATTCAGACCTGGAGCTGAAAAACCGAGGAAACGATACTTTAAAGGAATACGTCATCTTTTCACTATCAAATACTACTGTAAGTCCTGGTGACAATGAAAATGACCAAAAGATTTGTAGCTTTTTCTTTCAGAAGGACAGCAGCTATAGTCAGGTTAGATTCACAGCAGTTAGAGTCAGCAAAAATCAAGAACTGCATCTATGAAAACATCCAGAGAAACTTCACAAAGCACTGCAACACAGTCTGCTTCCTTTCTGTTGCGCATCTGGTGTTTAAAGCCTGAGAAAAGACAGACTGTAGCACCGGACACAGATGGAGAGTGTGTGCTGTGAGCCACCAGTGAGACAAAACTAAATAAAATTCATGACGTCCAGCTGAGTAACAGGCTTACGGGTTTATCAGATGCAACAGCACTGCACAACAGTTTGTGATACTCAGACAGGACTTTACAACATTTATTATCATGGTGGCAACAAGAAGTAATTGTTACCACCCTTATGTCGCAGGAAAAGCATTCACACAGGGCCAGGTTGGCGTGAACATGGCCTCATGTCTGAGCAGCTCTCCTCTCAGCACAACACCAGAAACAACCTGTTATTACTGGCGACATGACTTTACCCCTCTGTTTTCCCGCAGTAGCCTCCAGCTTGAATTTATGTTTTTACCGTCTTCTAATGTTTCCTAGCAGCTCCTGTTCGGTGAAATATGATTGAAGCTGCCAGTGATATTTATTAAGTAGGTGGTGATATGATTTTTTTTTCTTCTCTTTGAAGAATGTGCCCATAAAACAGGTTTCCTGACATTGTGCAAATTGAGGTGCATATTAAAATATCTAACATGCAGAGGCGCCAATGAGAAAATATTCTCCTCGCTGAATTTCTGAAATGTTGGCTGATAAGATAAGAGATCGTTCCTCACAGGGTGACAATCTAAAGGTAGCCTGGGCTGTGTTAGTGCCAAGAAGATAGTCTGAAAAGTCGATGAACAGGCTTAATAATGTGTGAATCTTTGGGGAGAGAGACAGGGGAGGTCATGTACAAAGAACAACGGCAGGACACGTGTGGAGACTGATAATCACAGCTGTGAGAAGCAGAGATGACGACGACTACATTCTAGAAATGAGATGCGTTAATGTATGAATTGCCCTTCAGAGGCCTGCGTAGTGACACTCACAGTGTCTGCTCTCTGTGAATGTATGCAGAGCTGAGTGTGCGGACCCCACATCTGTACTGCTATGAGCACAGCTGGATGTTTGTGCTGGCTCATACAGGAATTTTACCTGTCAGCGCTAGCTTGTGTCGGTGGTGCTAAGGTGCTGAATCACCTTCTTTCTACCTCCTCCACGTTTTTTTTTTTATTTTTTTTTGCTTAAAACTGTCATTCAGTTTTATTGTTTTGACTTCAAGCTTAAAGTTTGGTGCACATTATTTCCTTTTTCTTTCCTTATTTATTTTCATTGCCAGTTGCTTTTGCCTATTCTCAGGTGGTGCCAGGTAAACTACACATATATTAATTTTATTTAAAGTATAAATAACAAATGTGACTCTCTGTGGCTTGAGGAGTGTTTTGTATCACATGGGATACTCACTTTCTTGTTCTTGGGTGACTGTCAAAATCTTCTAACAAATATCAATGAAATTAAGGAACAACTGAGGAACTTTGGGTGGATTTCTATAAGTTTATTAAATTAATTCTAAACATTCCAAGATTGGAATAATAAATCTGGTTATTGTTGTTCCTTTTTCATGAACTACTGTGGAGATGTATACCACAATAATCAATGTGTAATCTGATATCAAAATATTAAGGGATCAGCTTGGCTTGTTTTCTTTTTTGGTAACAGTGACTTCAATTAAGATCAAATTTTCCATAAAATTATTAAGCAAAGTGGCCAAAATATCATTTTAAGTAGAGGACTGGCGGGGTCTTGATGACTTATGAGCATGTGACCTGTCTCTGTTACATTAAAACAACATCCTGGAATGGAAGAGAAGAGTTGACTCTGGAGCTGTGATACCTGTTGATGTGGTTTCCTTTCCTCCTGACTGCCAGTAGAGGCTGATGTAGTTCACAAATTACAAAACTCTTGTCACTTTGTATTAAACCTTGCATGTTTCTCTGCAGTTGCACATACTGTAGTGTGAAATCACAAACTGTAGATCAACTCCAGCAAACAGGATGTATGTGTGTGAACATTATGTGCTCCACTCACTTGAGTTTGGTCCAGACATCTTGGTCTCCAGCTCCTGGATCTGTTTAACCAGCAGGGAGATGTGCTGCAGCAGGTCTTTGTTCTGCAGCAGCAGCTGATGGACTCGAGCCTGGGCCTCCAGCCGAGCCGTGGCCTCTGCACTCAGCTGGTCCTTCAACAGGTGGACCTGCAGAGGAAGAGGTGGGGGAGTCAAGTGAGATTGAAAATATAGAGGAGGAGAAACCAGGAAGGGCCAGAAACAGCTGTTCAGTGGAGTAGGAAGTCAGTATAAACTCATAAAGTCAGTACTGATATCCCTTTCTGAAATCATCAGAAATGATGTTTGCTTTAAATACTTGAGCAAGATAACATCAAAAATGTACAACAAACACACTATTTGAGCCTTTGAGCTGTGTCTAATATTTTCTCTACAGGCTAAACATTGTAGGATTTCGAGCAGAAGTTATGTGGGTTCAATATGTGGGTTCTGTTTGAAGGCGCTACAGCAGGTTTCTCTGCAGAGTATGATACAGTATATTTTGACTTAACATTCTGACATTCAGTATGTACTCTTTAAAATGTAAAGGCTACTGAGAGAATGTGAGCAATAGATGCCAGATCTTTGTGCTGTAACTGCAGTGGCTTCACAGCCTCCTATTATAGTTTTTATTGCGGGACTAGCCGAGCTCCAGTGGCAGCTCTGATCCTCAGAGATGATGAAAGCGCAAAGTCTATTTCAATTTAAGACTCAAAGGCTAAAACTTCTATTACACTTTGAATCATGTATACAGGAGGGGAGGAAAGTGGGAGCAACACCGTTCAATCAGTGCACACATGCCTAAATACACAGACCCAGAGCTTTTGTAGCTGATTTACTTCAAAGCGCTCCCCAAATCAAATGTTAGTGGCTGCCTCCCACCGTGTTCTGCCATCTCATATCCTTTCAGTGGTTTCAAAGGAGAAATTCTCAAGGTTTCAAAGGCCAAAATGATTCAGAAGGAGCCCAGGGTGCTGAAGGAGCACACTTACTAATGATTATCTGACAAGACAGGTGGCACAGTTATCAACACTCGGAAGAAGCAGAACACATGGCTGCTTCCAGGTTCTGAATGAAAGAGCGTGGAACATGCTTTTATCCAATAACACATCACTCATGATGGATAGTATGTACTGTAAACACTAAGGAGCTGACATTAAGGAGTTTCGTGTTCTGCCTTGTACATATAAATAGCTTTGTCAGCACCAGAGTGCATCGGACCAGGTGCCCATGATATTTCTAGGAAGGCAGCTGGTGGCAAAGGGCCGAGCAGAGCAGCGGTGTATTTTCAGAGCCCTGAATCACAGGGCCTCATGTGGAGTTAGGAGTCACTGAAACTTGTAATGACTCCCTGGTTTCTCATTTCAGCTTGTGGTAACACAGAACTTGTTGCCGTGGCAGCATGGAGGCTCTCGGCTCTTGACGTCAATGGTGAAACATATCAAAAGAGAAGAATAAGGAAATACTACAAAACAAACTGGAATTGGTGTTGGAACAAATCGCCAAGGACACTGCTGGGCACTGCAAACCTCTGAAGGTCCTTCAGGTTATATTCTATCTGAAAATCACTTACAAATGGTGAGATGATATTGCTATGCTATTTGATGTAGTTATGATCATTAACCAGATTGTGATGCTGTCTTATTATTGATCTGCGTGCTTATAAACTAACTACTCCTGGATTTCTCTGATGTAAGCACTGTTTTTCAGCGTTTTCCTATGATGAACCCTCATCACACTCTCGTGACTCTAATAAGGGGCCAGTGAGGCAGAGATTCACAGCCTCCATCTCAAGGCCTTCGTGCCGCCTCCTCCTCTCCCCACATCTCCTCAGCAGAAAGACATACAAGTGCTGAGGAAGACAGTCATCTACTTTCATTATTCTTGCACTTAGCAACAAATAGAGGTGATTCCAAACCTCATTTGTATAGGCTGACACTAGTGATGAATCTGAGGTAATTTACAGCTGACAGGAGCCCATCCTCAGCTATAAGATTGGAGCCAGTCTCTGAAATACACCGGCTGCCCTGCTGACAGCTCTAATAGTACATCAGCCACTCCTCGATGGTTTACACTGAGGCCTTGGGAGCAAGTTTCACATTTGTCCTGATGCCGTCCATATTAGAGGTCTGACTGCGCTGAGCTGCACTGGCTAGTAAAAAGACATGGGCTAATATCACACAGAAACAGCAGTGAACAAAGGGGTAGGAAAGAAATCTTTGTTTTAAAAGTCAGACTTTGCCTGCCTTTGTTGTCTGGATATCTGATCAAGAAGAGCACAAAGTCTGGTTGTGAAGCAGCCCCACAAGGTTAAATCTGGTGGTATTTTGTAAATGACTGGGTATCCTTGAAAACAGCCTGGGCCTGCTGATAATACAAAAATTGGCGAGATGAGATACTGTTTGACAGGCTCTGGATTATTACAGCTGGATCTCTGTTTGTCTGAAGACCTGTCCTTCATTTTATTTTCTTTCTTTTGTATAACCTGAACCGGAATCTTAATGAACTCACAAACAAATACAATATTGAATTGGGCTCAATGAATTAAACACACGCTACAGTCTCTGTGGGAGGCCTTGGCCAGAAAACAAAATCCTTTCAGACTGTGGTAGACGTCTGCCATATTGTTACCATGATGTTGCAGTATTCTCATATTAATAGGGGATTGGTTGAGGACAAGCTCAATCACACAGTGTATTATTTCACCCTAATTCTGCTTGTAGAAACATCTCCTGTATCTGACTTCTTCTGTATGGATGTACACCTTAGCGCTGCAGCAGAGGGGTATCGAGACGGACAAAACGCCATCCCTCTGTATTACACATTTTCAGAGCTAATGCACAGTGTGCTCACTTTAATTAGTAATCAGGTAGTGAAAAATGTATGCCAGATGACTAATTTGTTTAATCATAGAAATACCAGAAGCTCTGAGACAGGTTTTCCCTTCCTGTTTCTCAGGAACTGGTTCTAGGACAGGCATACTGAACTGGTCTTGACTGGATTTGCTACATCAAAGAGCCACAGCGCAAAAACGCAAAAAAGACAACAACTCACTACTTTAACAATGATTGCTATTTTTTAAGTGAGATGAATTAAAACCTCTCAATAAAGCAGAACTCAGACAAAGAGCCAATTAAAAGGTTCATCACTTGTGTTTCACTGTGATGGTCCCCTGGTAGTAAACCCGCCGTTCCCACCGCCTTCTTCCTTCTCACAGTACGTGAGAGCGGTGAAGTCGAAGGAGCTTGAAATGACTGTTTAAAGCTCTAATTAGGCTGCAGCATCTCTCTGGATCTTTATTGCTTTCTTTGTTCAAAACTGTTCCCTGGAACAGAACGGTCCCCACGGACAGTTTTCATCTTCCCAATTCCAGTTCTTAAAGTAGTTTATAATACCTACCTACCTCTCTACCTAGTCTGCTTCCATCAAAAAAAAAAAAATCTATATCTACCAGATCAGAAAAAAGATACATTGCTGCAAATAACTTAAGATATTTAGAATATGTGCCATGCAGAAACATTACCAAGTGTATAGAGTTGGTCTCACAAGATGAAATTCAACACAAGTAAATAATCATATGTTCACGTGTGATTGTTTTCCTTGTTCAGTGGCAGAAGGAGAGTAGTTTTGCTTTAACTGTTGTATTTTACATCACTCAGTAAACATTACAATCACACTTACCCTTTGCTGTTTTGTCTTCTTACACAAAGTTTCTAAATTCTGCTTTTCTTTTAGCTTTAAAACATATCAGCCCGGATGTCAAAGCCTCGGGTGTCAAAATCTTGTTTCACATTTTGTTTGTTTGTACTATCGAAGAAGCAAATGGACTACTGTAGGTAACCGGAGCGAGCACTGAAAGGCCACAGGGATAAGCCAGAAAAAAGAAACACAAAAAAAATATAGAAAATGCGGTACACAGACCACACACAGATGATTTACGATAGCTGGGAAGAGCTCTGCAAAAACCACTGCAGTTTGCAACACAGATGAGACAAGCAGAGAACATACAGTGAAAGGCTTCATGGATTACTTCCTAATCTTGTATGTAGAAATGGGGAGATACGGCTGTTTAAATGACATCCTTTCCTTTTCAGAAGAGACTGAAGTACAGAGACTCTCCCACTGGTGGTGTAAGGGGATTAAGACGGCTGCTGGTGACGCCACGTGGTTGGCTGCTGAGGATGTACTCCTCACATAGGATTAGCATCATCACAGCGCCTGCCCACACCAGGTCCCTTTGATGCACAAATCTCTGAAACCCCTCCAACACTGGCTCACCTCTGTTTTTATCTCAATTTAAGAGGAAATTTAAGAGGAAATGGCTGATGGGGAAATGACCAAGAGAATCCCATTTACACTTGTGAAGGTAGGGAGTGAGTACATGATGAAGTGAGAGAACCAGAAATGTCCAAGCAAAAGAGCAGGAAAGAGTAAGGCAGCAAGAAGGTGTAAAAACAAAGTGAGAGATGAAAACATATCTGTCTGAGCAGGCAAATCTATAGGAATAAATTCAAATCAGACACATTTATAAGACAAATCAGAAACAAAATGTTTGGAGGAACAATAAGCAGGAAATAAGAAGAACTGAAGGTAAGCTCAGGAAGCAAGAATGACACTAAGAGAGAGGTGACAGAGCATCATGTGCAGAGCGTGACTCATCATGGAGCAGATAGGCGATGTACTCCTGCACTCCTCTGACTAAATTAAACATCTCCACTTGCACTTATCCCTAAGTGAGCTGTGATTAGCGTTGGCCAGCTCGCTAATTTACCTCCATTTGCTGCGACCTCTGCTCAGGCAGCAACAGGGATCAACTTCAAAGTCACAGGCATTTCCATCAGCTCAGCGGGCAACAGCGAAAGAATCCACTCCTCACCCCTTAAGGTAATTTCTTCCAATAATGTGCTGGGTTGACAAAAATGCTGCCATGTTGCTTTTATACATGAAAGTAACTTTGAAATACAACTTCTGAGGCTTTCAGCAAAGATTTTTAAATTACACACAGGCGAAAAATGTAAGGAAAATAAGGCTGCAAGTACCGAGTGTTTCCCTGTTGACTGATCTGCTAATTACTGTCACAATGAATCTATTATTCATTTAATGAAGAAGCCAGTCAGTTGTTCTATTCTTCAATGTCTGATGTCATGATGCACACAAAATCAAGTAATTTTCCACCCAACAGCAGAGCTGCCCTGCTGAGGAGCTGGAGGAGTCGCCTGCAGTGCCATGGCTGCTGCTTTAAACTGATCTGCTGTCAAAAAAAGATGACTGTTGTTGGCAACAAAAAACACTGTCAGCACAGCTCAGCATCACTCATGAAAAGAAAATCAGTTTTTCTTGGCTGTGAGTCTTTGTATAGCACTGCTGTGTGCTGTGATACTGTGTGGGTAAGATGCAGTCAAGCCTGAGTGAAAAGAGAAAACTGAGGCACAGACACCAGGAAAAACTATTTTGTTTTGATGAGGAAACAAATTCTGGAACTTATATACTGTAAAGACTTCTATATTTAAACACTGTATGTCCCTCTTTAGGTGTTCAGACCTGTGAACACTAGAGTAAAACTACTCTGGGGCTGTAATATTCATGTCAGTCCCTTTAATTAATTCTGGTTTGATTAGATTACATTTGATTTGGGAGAATGATAAAAGATTAACTACACTGAAACAATAATTCTTGATCTGATACCAAAGGCAGTAACAAAAAGGTTTCTTCAACACATCAGTTTGTATTGGACTACACCTGACATTTGTATTATTAATAAACCTGTTCATTTTTAATGAATGAATTAATCATTCAGTCAATAAAGCATCCCTTGTCTGATCAACACCCAAAGATATTTAATTTGCAAAGACACTCAACAGTTTGCAGACAGTAAAGACTCTTGAAAAGGAACCTAAACCAGTGTTTCCTTTGAATATTTGAATTTTCTATCACATTGTTTATCTTGTGGTGTACAAGACAGTAGTGAGACCAGCTATGCTGTATGTAGAGACTGTAGCAGTGAGGAAAAGACAAGAGGCAGAGATGGAGGTAGCAGAGATGAGGATGTTGAGGTTCTGTTTAGGAGGGACCAGGATGGACAGGATTAGGAATGAGCCCATCAGAGGGACAGCTCAGGTCGGCTGTTTTGGGGGACAAGGTCAGAGAGGCCAGATTGAGATGGTTTGGACATGTGCAGAGGAGGGATAGTGGTTATATTGGTAGAAGGATGGTGGAGATGGAGCAGCCAGGCAAGAGGTCAAGAGGAAGGCCAAAGAGGAGATATATGGATGTGCTAAAAGAGGACATGAAGTTAATTGGGGCGAGAGTAAAGGATGCCGAGGATAGAGTTAGGTGGAAACAGATGATTCGCTGTGGCGACCCCTAACGGGAACAGCCGTAAGAAGAAGAAGAAGAAGATTGTTTATCGTGTGGTCCCAGGATGAAAACCACAGATTTAATTCATATTCTGGCAACATTTACTTTCTCTGTTGGCCTATCATTCGACTGATTATTCAAATAGTCATTTACCAGCTACCATTTCAGAGTCCAAACGAACAGCAGCACGTGGAGGTCGACTCACCAGATAAACAAACCTTACAAGAACCAACCTGAAGAATCAGTGGAAACTAATTGTGATGCTGTGTGAACGCTAACGGTTACAACAGCTCAGACAAGTTTGGGCCACTGGGGAAACCTTGCTAAATGGCAAAAGGGCCAAGGTCAGACACATCTGGGTTGTACACTGAAATGTTCCACATCAGGTAGAATCCTCCTTTCATGCATCAAAGCAGCGACCTCTGGCTTTGTCAAAGCAATAATTAATAGCATTTATGTCTGGACACCCTTAGCGTGACTGTGTGAGCTGCAGCAGCAGTGTAATGTTGTTCAGGTCAAGAAAAAGCGATAGCGAAGGTCAGCGTGAACAGGTGTGGTAATCAGCACCTCTGTATCCCTGAGTCAGGAGTGTGCGTGTAAGGGTGTGTGTGTTGAGAGCTGGCTGACACGTGCTTTTGTGAATGTGTGTTGTTCTAGCTCATAAGCCTGAAGCCACTGCTGTCACTAGTCTCCCACTGCAGCCAGTCAAGCTGGGTGACCGATGTCTGCTGCTGGGTGCACTCTGTTCTAAGTTTGTTTCAAATCCCGACTGGACTGCAGGCGTGTGTTGTTCTCCATAACTCTGCTAATGATCCTTAAGTGTTTGCAACTGATCACGTCTCTGTCTCCCAGGCAGTGTGGTCAGCAAAGGCAGATTTTTCTGATAGGCTCCAGCCACATGCAGCCCTGTAGCCTAAATAGTTATAGATTAAAAAATGAACAGATTGATTTTTTTTTTTTTTTTACTAAACTGGCAGGAATATTTTCTGTAAATACCTTCTTGCATTTACTGCCTTCACTTTAACGCAGGTTTTTACACTGCTTATTGATTTGAGTTCACTGTGTGTCTAGACACCCCGAAAATGCCAATAAACTCCGGTGTATTTTCATCGTTCATTCAGCCATACTTATTTTTAACTATCCACTTGAGAGCACGGAGATAGATTTTGTATGCCACATACCATTCATAGATGAAGGCACATGTATATTTTTTTCTATCCTGGCATGAATGGGATTGTTTGGATCCAACCAAGGAGGTCATCGGTGGCTGGTGTTCGTTGTCTATTCTATTCTGATGAAAAATAGGGATGCACCAATACCTCCTTTTTCAGACTAAGGACAAGTACAATGTGTAACTGACTGAAGCTACTACACAACGTACTATAATACAGTGGTTATTTAGCCTTTGTTTGAATGTGACCCAGTGTTAGGAACTGAAAGTCTGGGAGCACATAATATGAGTCGGCAGTTTAAATGTTTAATTTAATGAAGGTGCATGCCGCTACTTTAAACTGGTGACTGTCCGTGGCGTCATCCTGTTCTCTCTGCTGAACACACACGTGCATTGCATGTTTTGCTAAGAGTGTGTCCCCTTTTGGTTCTGACCAAAATGCTGAGTACAGTATTACAGTCCATTTATCATCATTTATACTGTACATGTGTACAGTAGTGTGTATGTAGCATTACATTCAGGTGTTACTATGTGGGTGACGCAGGGTGGATGCACTTAGTAGGTACTATGGGACAAGGACAATGCACACATTTTGGACCATATGCACCTTGGGGACAATAGAGTATATTAAGACACCACCAGTGTACACATGATTCAGGTAATATAAAATAGAAGAGGTTAATTCCAATCACTTTTCCAATTCTAAAATAGCCTCCAGATACTGTCTGCAGCTCGCGCCCTGGTGGACCTTAGGTGACAAGGGAACGAGACCATGTGGGAGTGAGGCAGGTGTTATACTACTGTTACTGCTCTAGTGGCTTCATATTAAACTGTGTAACTGCATTAAAGAAGAGCAGCGGCCAGGGAAGCAGTTCCCAAGGCAACACAGAGTGAAGTACCATAATGACCACCACAATACCTGTTACTGTAATGTCACTGAAAATAGGAAATTTGCAAAGTATGAAATACATCTCTTATATTATTGCTATCCAGGCAATAAAATATAAGTGGGGGTGTGGAAAATAATCATTCACAGGCATAAAAACACTGGGAGTCTTCATGGCCAGTGTGAACCTCTTTAAGCTTTAAATTTTTACAAACAAACCTCTTCTTTCATTTATAAATTCACCATACAACAAATCTGAAGGTAAGAAACGGCTGTTTTGTGTATGTGTGAAAGACGCACTTGTGCCCCAGCCACTTGTGTCTGCTGCTGTTGCTGCTGGAGCTGCTGCTGGAGCAGTTGGATCTGGTGGTGCACAGAGAGGGGAGCGGCTGGTGGGAGCGTGCTCGATGCAGGGAGCAGCATCCTGGGGCTGGACATCAGCAGAGACGCCTCCTCTGAAGCCTGAAACCAGGGAGCAAGAGGGAGAGATGAGGTCAACATTTAGTCGACTAAACTGACCATGACATTTACTTCACCAACAAGTTTATACAGCAGATACACAGAGGTATATATAAAGAACAGGGTATAAAAATGAAGCCACTTCATTTTCACTACATGCTGGAAGGACTTGAAAATCTGCATCTCACACCATTATATAAAACACTGAAATGCTCAGCACAGCCTAATTATTTCCTTGAAACAAAAGCTATTGCACAATCCAATATTTTTCTGCATTTACTCTCAAACTTGGCTAGAACAGTGTCCAACTTGCATATTAATGGAAAATGGCAAGTGAAACTAAACAAATCAGTTTCCCGTCAGCTTGAGAATGCAAACAGAAATCTGACAAGAAATTGCTAATGAATAAATAAATATAATCCAGACAAACAAGAGCATCAATAAAATGCCCTAGAGAACAAGTTATAATCAAAACAGGAACATGAATCTAAAATGTGGAGTTGCTGATGAGTCACAGCAGTGAGGAATGAGTGTTGTTGAGAATGCTGATCTGCAGTGCTGAGATGCTCAACTCCCACAATAATGAGCTCCGGGACTCCTTCTTCTTCATCTAACGCCATCAAGCATCCTAACTGCTTCAAGGCTCTAGTAAGAAGTAACACACTGTCCCTCCCCATCATTCAACCAGTCAAAAATATGTATTCATGAAAATAAAGCATCAGCACTATTTGGTATTGTAGGGTTCTGATGAGATGCCAGAAGAACCAAATATATCTGTAACATCTGAATAATCTTTATTTCCTACCACTTTCTGTCATTGTTCACTGAATACAGGAATACAATAAGAGGATGTTAGCTGTTCAAATTCTCCTCCTTGAAGTGGCCCACAAAGAAAGAGTGCTACAAAGTGCACGGGTGGCACAGAGGACAAACAAGCACTCTCCCACCACCGGTGAGACCTGGACTCAGTCCACACTGGAGGTCTCTTTGCTAGGCAGCGCTCAGTGTTGGGAATCCGGTGTCAGATCACGACCTCGCTGCTGTACTCCTGACTGTGGTTGTGAGGAGGAGAACTCCATAGGCACGTTTTGCCCCAGTGCCATCTAGCAAGTGCCTGACACAGACTGAGGGTCATGTTGGAGCCTGCATGTGGAAGAGTTAGTCTGACAAATTAAGACCTAACGGGCTAGACATAAGGTCCTTGACCCTTTTTACACTTGTCATTTCAGGAGTCTCATATCTGGATAAAATTCTGATGTGGTTACACTTGGGAAAAGTAAAGATCACATACAAGTCTTGGAGAGATGGATGCATTTACACATTTTCAAAATTAGGCTGGAATGCATTTCAATGGATTTCAGACCAAATGATTTGCAATCAAAGGTCAAAAATGACTAAGACACATGTATATCTGACAAAAAGATTCAGTATGTTGGGAATAGTTTATTTTGTTTCTGTGATGTTGTTCTGTTGTTTGAAACAGTCTTTTGACTCGAGACAACAAAAAGCCCCACAGACAATAAAGAGCAAATCAACCCAAATCAAATCATTCAGCAGGCACCATCAGAACTGAGGCAACAACAAGAAACATGGATCCGAGATGTGGCAGATCCTATCTGCTTTTATATCTGCTGCATATTCTCCAAGTTTGTAAAAAAAAAAACTGACCCATGTTTCTAATGCAAACAGAAATGTGCAGTGCTTGTTAATACATGACTGGCATTTCTGCTGGCATCACCTCTGCTTTCCTGCTTTCTCTGGCTCGTACCACAAAAGTAGATCCATAGCAACTGGCTGCTGGATATCATACATTTCTGGAAAACAGTTTCACAGCTGACAAGTCAGAACAATTAGGCTGCAGACTGAATCCAAACTGTGTCACATCATTAATAGTGGATACAAATACAAGTGAGGAGAATTGCAATGCAGGAAAACAAGTTGACACCTGATTAATGATGTGCATGCAGACACACACTCCATGAAAGAGGAATATAATTAATGCCCTATGTGAGCTAGAACTTTTAGGTTAATGACAGGAAATTATCTCAGCTGACAGGTTGTTTGGCACCATCACGTAATGAATGACAAGGCAGAAGTCTCTAGTAGCTCTGTGTGTTTGTCTTTCTCTGTCTCTGTGTGTGTTTGTGTGAGTGTAAATCAGAGAGTCCATTGAGAATTATGTGGCAGAGACCCCTCAGAATCATCTGTATAAAACATGCGTGTTTTTTAAGTATTTATGTAAATCAGACACATCATTCACCTTTTTTTTCCACAGGAACTACCTGCAGCCACCAAAAGTGACTGTTTGCTAGGGAAAGGACATTAAAGTGGATTGTTGTGGTAGATCTGAAACAGTGAATGTTTTCAGGAACACAGTCAAAGTTCAGCAACGGGACAGGTGATGAGATGAGTCAGCCCTCAAACTGTCAAAGAGGATGTTTGGATTTCAAGCACTGTGGCAACAGGAACTATTCTCAATGACACAGAAACAGAAAGAGAAGAGTGACAAACAAAGTGTCAGCGGCAGCAGAATGATACGTAACACAGCTGGCAGAAAAAGCCTGATGCAAATGTTTATCTGAGCAGTCACCTCCAACACTTCACCACTTGATACTGTAGAACAGTGGTAGTTTAACAGCACTTTACAAAAGCTCCCAAAATAAATAAATAGGCAATGAAACAACAAGCCAGAAGTGAACATTTTTACCTTCCAGGCCAAAAATAATTTTTACTGAAATAGTTTTGACCTTTAATTATAGTGTCCTCTTGTGCCAATTACTATAATCTCAAAATGCCACAGTAGGGTGGGTCACGAAGCTATGGAGACTGAATAATTATTGTCAGGGGCTGCATGATGCCTGGAGTCCCTCCTCAGAAATGGGTGACCAGTCTAGGAGGGAGGAAAATATGGGGTTTCAGGTATTCAGTGGATGACAAACACCACATTTGTAATCTTTTTGTGTATTGGCAAACAAAGTCCATTCATAAAAAATGCATCAGTTGCGAAAAGATCCATCATTTTTCAAAGTTGCTTAACTTTGAGATTTTATGTGAGATGCCTGCATGACTGGGTAAATTAACTTCGATGACAGATGGATGGCTGCAAATGATCCACAGAGATAAAGTTTCATTATGACACTCAAACAGTGAGACAAGTGTCAGATTCAGTCTGAATACTTATGTGCGTTTTGCACTCACACAGACCCACACCCTAACACACAACAACACTTTCCAGGTTTGTTCAGTGAAAGCCTGCATATTCAAACACAGCTTTACTGTACAGAATGCGGAACAACAATTCTTCTCTGTACACTGAATCCTAAACTTGTTTACCACGGTTAAAAGGCAATTACAGAAAACTGCAGAGTAGAATGTTCAGACTGAGTGGGGGAGTTAAGAGGACGGAGAAAAACTGCCTGCTGCAGAAATCCCTCATTATAACTCCTCGAGTCTGATCAGCCCGAGGGAAACTCTGGCTATTACCATCTCATTCCCACATACAACATATAGATGCTAATACAGGTTCTCAGCTGACAGCTGCAGTCTCCTCGTTATACTCGTTAAGGAACAGGAGGCGAGGAGGGAGAAACCAGGGAACACAAGAGCAGTTGAAAAAGAAAGAGGAAAGAAATTAAAATAGATCATGAATTAGATGAAGTTTCTCTCTTCATCCAGTGGGGATTACACTAAGTGCTCTGTCTGTCACACACACAGTCCCCTCACACACACGCGTGTGGAGGCACTGAAGCCCTAAGGGGTGAGACAGCGTCTGGCATCCTTCACTGCCAACAGCCTCAGCAGTACATTCAATCTTATCAAGGGCTCTTGAGCAAAGGCCAGGAAGACGACTCTGCCGTGGTTTGCCTGTAAGATCAGATCACACATCAACCTTACAAGTCATTATATAGTGGTTATAACAGAGAGGGTCTTCTCCAGGTGAAGCTGTTCCTGTTAAGCTTTGACATGTATTAATTTCTATATAATTCAAACTATAGTCTGCTCACTCAGAGCAGATACTGTCAAGGTCTTACAGGAAATACATATTCATAACAAAGCAAGGCAGCTCTTTGGCTTTGGATTTCCCAGTGTAAACTGGTGACACTAGGCCAAATTTTCAACACAACAGTGACTAACAATCTACTGCTGACCAAAAATAGCATGTGACGTTGTGTTTCATTTCAGATAAGGTTTTCCATTTCCTCTCACGTGTCCACTGGTTTCTTTCGAATTCAACACCAATATCCAATGTTTTTTTTTTTTTTTTGATGCATGGTCTACAGGCTCAGAGCTTGTTAAAGAATATCTGCACCTGTGTGACAGATTTGAGGGTTTCTGTGACCTCATTATCTTAGCTGCTGTTGTCCAGGCTGTTCTAAACACTAATCTTGTTGCCTTGGTTAATGGATTATTCATTTTTAATGACGCCAAACAGCTACACAGTTGGTGGTATTAATTTACATGTCCTTGCAATCGAAGAAGTGGTTCTCTGTTGTTGCCCCCGGCAGTCAGAGCTCTGTTGGTGATTCCAGTCTAATCAGTAACTGTTTTAGACGCATAGGCACACACACAAGCAATTAAACTAGCTATTAGTGCGAGGCTGTAGGCCCTGGGGATCATGACTGTGATATGTGGGCTTGGCCTGAGACTGCTAGACCAACTCTGGTTTGTGTCGAGCCAAGCCAGAACTGGCTTTTGATATGGAATCTTTTGGAGCACATCAGATGGTAGGAAACCTTGGCTGTCTATGATCTCAGAAAAAAACTATGATAGGACCCTTTTAAGGCAACAAAAATATATATGTAATATAAATAAGTAACCCTAAAATATGATGAGAAGTCTGGGTTTCAGTGAAGAGATGCAGTGGCACGTGACAACACAAAATGATGTGGAAAGTCAAATGGCAGCAGCAGAAAGAAACAAAAAGAGATGTTGTGGTTTGTTATCATTTGACAACTAACAAGAAAACACTCCGTGTTGGAGGTGAAAAGCCTCCAACATGGAGTAAAACAAGCTCAACATAACACAACATTCCCAGATATGCATGCACGAAAGTAGAAAATGAGGGCGAGTGAGAGGCTGCTGGCCTTGTTACTTCTTGCTGGTTGGCAGCCTGAAGCTGTATCATACACACACAAACTGAAAAATCAAATCATCAGCCCATGAGCTTATCAAGAGAAACAACCCCAGCAGGGTAAAACTACAAGCTAGTCTCTCCAATATAAGTAGGTCAAGCAATATTTTCACACAGACCCACTGAGTTTACAATCAGTGGAGAGACGTCAGGCTGCAGTGCTGTCTGTGAAGAGCACTGAAAGACAAGTCTCTGTCCTGTGGGGATGTTAAGGAGACAGGCAGGAAAACAGACTGTGTGTTCCTGCAGCATAGAGGCTGAGTGTAAAGCTGAGAAGGACTGTGTGTCGTTGTCAGACAGACAGAGAACAGAGGGAGACCACTACAACACCCTCTGGATTATTAGTAAGCACCTAGTAGACAGCACCCAGTTTGAATTGGCATGGAGACTTACAGCAGTATTTCCTGTCTACCAGCACAGTGAACCATTTTACAAGCTCATCTCCCAGAGGCACAGTTAGAACCAACAGCCAGTGATTTAACACTTTGACCTTTAAAAGGAACAAGGCAGGGCTTCTGTACTAATGCTTTTCCAATTGCACTTTATTTTATTGATATGATCCAAATTATTCCCACTTTTCTTCTCACTCACAGTAATTTGGCTCAACTGAGAGTCATTAATTGTTTGTACAAATTTAATGACAGTCAACAAAGAAATAGGGTACATTGGAGGTGGCTGACGAAATGAATCCCTGTTGTGTTTCCAGTGTGTGAGAATACTTGTTACTTGAGCTATCTGCCTTTATAATACAAGACAAAGAGCCTGAGATGATGGTTTGAAACTCATAAAAAAAGCCAGTAAGAGACTTCAGGATAATTTTACATGATCTTAAATGGATGCATTTATTTCTTTATCTCATTGACAGGCAAACTTAAAATAATAGCCATGAAAGTACCATGAAATACCTCTGACTTTTTACATTCACAAACCTCCAATTAGTCTGACAATCACTGTTTTTATAGAATATGCTAAATGTGGACATATATATTATATACAAATATATTGGTCTTGTAATCTTATTATTTTGTTGCGAACACAGATAAATCTTTACCTCTCTGTACAATCAGTAAAATCCTAACATGCTTGAACTGTGCTTTTATACATGTCACTCCTCTGGACTTTTTTCTCCAGTCAACATTTACATTTGGATTCTGTAGCTTGTGTGAGCAGAAAGCATAATGTAATCACTGGATTTTAGAAAGCTGTGTCTACTTCCCTGTTCTTGGCTCTCCAGCTTCTCCTGTAGATCGATTCTTGCACAATGTGCCTCAACACATTCATTTATAAGGAACACAGATAAAAAAAAAAACTGATTTTTACACCTCCCCCCTTTTCCTAACCAAGTCTTAATGCTATCACCACACTGTTATCCTGAGGCCAGGTGTTGTGTGAAAACAGCATTTGCAGTCTCACTGGATAAAAGAAAAGAACAGACATTCATACTTTGGTAGTAAAACCCTGCAGTGAACTGCGCTCATGTTCAGAGGGTGTTTTATAGTGATGCACTACATCCACAGAGTTGTACAGTACTTGGAAAATATTGTCAGTTTACTGCATATTAGACCTGTAAATATTAAAACAGTTCATATTAAATACATTGTTGATTGAAAAATCCCAATTTGTGAGCTTCCATAGAAAAGCTCTGGGATGCAGCTGTACACTACACTTTAACTGAGGTGGCTGAGCTAACTACAGTAAGCAGCTTTTCTGTGGGGGCTTCCAGGACTGTCGGCAGGACACTCCCCGCATTGGAGACAAGCTTCAAGACTTTGACTTTTCCAATATTCAACCAAAACCATTTAAAAATGTTAATCACATGTGTATAGGGAAAACATGTGAAATATAGTTACAGTAAATATTTAGCAAATATGTTCAGTATGAATATATAATAATCACCTTTATTGGCCAATTATGTTACACACAAGGAATTTGTTTCTGGTACAGAACCAAGGCAGCCATCTGCGGTGCCAACTCAACCGATGGCTCTAACCATCGGGGGGGTTCAGTGTCTTGCCCAAGGACACTTTGACATGCGGACTGTAGGCACCGAGATTCGCACCTCCAACCCTCCGGTTGGGAGACGGCTGCTCTACCTACTGAACCACAGTTGCCCCTTTTAAGTTTATGTCTCTGAGACTCAGGGGACAGTAACTTTTAGGAGACATGGTTGCATCATGAAACTATGAAAGGCAATAATTTTAAATAGGGCATAATGTTGGGATAAAATAAAACATAAAATTACAAAAACAATGAGGATAAACATGTTTTACAGAGCACTAACGTACACACTGAGCCAGTCCAGATGCTCTCTCTATCCCCATCCACTGCAGTTCTCTCTCAGTCAGCAAAGCCAGGCAGCAGGAAGTGATAAAAAATAAGAACATAATAAAAATGATTATGATACACTGTCATTGCCAACTTAATACAGAAGCCAAGGTCTCAAGCCAAAGGGCAGTGTAACAAGCATCAGTCTACACTGCCTCTCCGCCCTCATCGTGCAGTGTCCTCCTCCGTCAAAAGTGTAATTATACCCCTGGATACTACTGTAAATCCCAGTAAACAACAGCTACGAGGCTGATCTGCCAGCAGAGCCACACAGCCGTGCTCACACGCCTCTACACAGACCACGGAGGATCTCTGTGGTAATAGATACGTGTCTGTGGTGAGCTTCCACAGGCCTGAGAGCAGACGCTCTGACTGAGCTGTATCAAATCTCTAACACCACGAGGCTGCACAAACACAAACACATGAACCAGATGACTAAAGTAAAAGTGTTGGAGCTCAGCTGCCATGAACAAAAACAGGGCAGCGCAGACAAAGCTATTTCTACACTCATGCTGCCCATACACACAGACTGGGTGTTTCCTTGTCTTTACAGCCACACAGATTCAAATCAGAGACTCCAAGCCTCTAAGAAATCTAAATATTAGCACCTCAAAGTCATAAAAGCAGACAATCCAAAAGCTTGTGTGTTTTTTTTAACAAATACTTCCCACTGAGGTTCAAAACCTCTTTTCCAAGGCCCCGGCCAAGACAGCAGCACAGCTACTTCCAGACACAGGACAAAATAAAACAGACGGCAATCTAGGCTCCAAGGTCCATGAGAGCTAAGTGGCTAGGAAACAGCATCACAACTAGAAGAGTTAAGGACTAAAGCAAACAGAAAAGGAATGACATTACAGTAGTTCTAAATTGATACCAATTTCATTATCTGAACTTCCCTTTGCAAACTGTTCCAGGTGGCTGGAGTAGAAGAGATGACGGCTTTCTTTCCCATCGCTGTGTGAACGCTTGGAACAGCAAGCAGATAGGTGTTTTGTCTCTGAGGTCATGACCGGAAAACGGGCTGTGCGAAGTAAGTTACCAATGATCCAAACGGTGCATAGAGATGACCAGCCGACTCTGGACTGCAGGATGTAGTGATGCACTGAGTCCAACCTGTGTGCCGGTGTATATCTAAACTCTGGATATTCACTGTTACATTCAGTGAATGGTATCTGATTACCTCCTAGGTTTCCAAGTCATAATCTGAACTGACTCTAGGACCCAAGATCACGATCAATGTTTCTCTTGGTCTTTGTGATCTGTGTACTGACCCGTGGTGCTATACAAACATTTTTATAGTTTGTTAGTAGACTGTTCTGTGGTGATGCAATGAAAACTCACCCAAATCGATTGAACCAGTCTCACATTTTCTGTGGGAGCTGCTAATTTTGCCCAGTCTCTGAACTACTTGAGCACGAGTGGGTGCTTGTGGAGACATTTTAAACTGCCCTTTTCTGAATGAAATTCAGGAGCAGTGATACCTGCCTGGGGCAAATGATATCAAGAAGCACCATGCAGAGACCAACTTTTTCTGAGGCTATGGATGTTCCCCAGCAAAGTTTAAAATGTCAGCAAACCTTTTCTAAACTAAACCAACCCCAAATGTCACTAATATAAGTTTTGTGACTGTCTGAACTGACTTACACCCACACGCTGTTAACACTTTCTAGTGTGTATCCATTTGTAGACGTCACTCGTAAACAGCCGTGCGTCCGCAGGGCGGCTGTGTTGGCGCCACACATGGAGAAAGATCACAATCAGAGCCCGTCACAGAGCGACTTACCTTGTCCTCTGTGTGGTCCAGACTGGGTGTCTTGGCTGTGGCATCTAGATCAGTCACTCCTCTATTGAGGTTCGACTCCTCTGCTGCCGGCGCATGGCTCCCCTCCTCTGCATCAATGTCTGTCTCATGGGCAACGGTCAGTGTCTTCTCTGTGCCAGCTAGCTCCCGAGCTGAGCCAAGGAAAGTGCACACACATACAGGTGGATAAGCACGCACGCCTGCATACACACATGTAGGTATGAGCATGTACACACACACACATGGGTGGACACATACGAAAGCACTTGGGTAAGAAACATCCACACAGCCATAGTAAACTACACAAGATAGTACGTGCATACATATGACCGAAGACTAAATATGTGTCTTAGATGTTCAAAACTCAGAAGCAAATAAACAGTGAAGTCAGTCCCCATATTACCACCTGAAGAGCTGGAAATCAGTACAATTACTGCATAAACATAATAAAATGCTGCCAGCACGCTCCTGTTTCCTGGGAGCTTTTAAACAGGGTTCTCAT